AAATTATCCAACGTTATGATGAAGAAAAACATAAAAAAAAAAAAACGAAATCTAATGGTTAGATAAGATATATGTGGTGCACAAACCTTCTCGCAAGAAGTGGGTCTTAATCATCTATTCAAGTACTTACAATATTGTTAGTCTTCTAAATGATATTTCTAATTTCCATCATGTTTTTTGTAGCAGCAATAAGAAGGTGAGAATCAGTAAGATATCTCCTTCCTACACATCAATATGCAAAAAGCTGCAATTCTAATTAAACCAAAAAAGAATTCTATATATGATACATGGATGCGAAATATGAAAAGGCGTCAATGAAATCTCCAAGGAATGCATTGGATATTAGAACAAGATCCATTCCATTTGCTTGTGCATTCGTTCTTAGGAAGATCACAACATTTACATATCATTCCAAGTGTATCGAAACTACTTAGATATCCTGCAAAAATGACCAAAACAACTTTTATTTAGCATAAGTAATTTTATATAGAAACAATTAGAAACACAGATTCTGGGTTGTCGTTGGTGCTTACTTTGCTGAGGGATGATGGAGAGTGATCTTGCTTCTGTCATCAGAGGATGAGACTGGAATCTATAACTGGTAATCAGAAGGAACATGAAGATGAGGGAAGGAGGCTTAATCATCTTTTCTTTTAATTAATACAACGATGCTGGCATGTATGATTGGTTTTTGGGTTTGTATATAAACACCAAAAGGTTGATGATTGAAAACTATATCTGTCGCTCGAGTTGACTATACACAAGGTCGACTTAGTCGTCGATAAATTATTAAAGTAACGATTGAAAGGGATTTAAATGAATATTAAAACATGAGAATCTAGAAGGGTTTGCTGGTTTGGTGTTGATGTGTATTTAAAGCCTATGTGCTTCTAGATATGATTACATATGCATGCTTTGTACGTTTCTTGTCTTTTACTCTGGGTTTCCACCGAAGTTTCTAAGCATTGGTGCCGTAGTTTTTATGTGCGATCAACATTTGATACTCCATAGAGTAAATTACAGTTTCGGTCCATGTTTACATCCATTTGCAGTTTTAGTCCAAATTTTTTATTTTTGGCACGACTGTTCCGTATGATTTAATTTTCTTGCAACTTTGCTCCTTTGGGCTAAATCTATGAGGCAGAAGCTGTTAAGTTGGAGTAAAAGGACTAATGTATCCCTGGTTTCAGTTTCATTTATCTTGTCAATTTCTAAATTATAGGGAACAGTTTTATAAATAAACATAAATTAGAACTGAAGCCCCAACACCCGGTTGAAACTCTCCTCCCAGATAATTAACTGGAATTGGAACTGACGGTTCTTAAAATCTTGGAACTGGAATCGGAACCACTGGGTAGCGGTTCCAATATCTGGTACCCGGTTCGTTTAATTCCTTGATTTTTTAAAACTTATAAAAATATATCTATTGTAAACTTACAAGAAAGTTATTAATAACATCAATAAGTAATTCGTTACGTATTAAAATTGAGGATTAGAAAATATCAGTAGCTTGAATAACATGAAGAAAAAATATTTGCAAGGTTCTTAAAACCTAAAAATAAACTCCAAAGATTTCATGAATCTTAAATACATACCTTTGATATTAAAAATTCAAACAATTAAATTTAACTTGAACATAATAGTATATTATGCCTACCGTCTACAAATTTATTTTGAACCAGGATAGTTTAATTTGAAAATAAAAATTACACATGGACATTTAAATGTTCAAAACAAATTATTCAAAATTCTAGAATTTTTAATGATGTTGAAGATGCTGTATGAAGTATGCGATTGTGATATATATATATATATATATATATATATATATATATATATATATATATATATATATATATATATATATATATATATATATATATATATATATATATATATATATATATATAGTCAAGATCAAATGAGAAGCAAATTATTGGTAGGAAGGTAAGAAATTTTTTTTCTACATATTTTTTTCGCGAACAAACAAAATGAATCATTAGATGATTCATTTGTAAGATGATTCACAAGAAAAAATTCTCAAAAAAACATCTCGATGATTCACTTATATAATGATTTTGTTGTTATTCACTAAAATTGTCATAAAAGTGGATTTTTTCTTAATGTACTTAAAAATGAATCATATAGATGTTTTTTTGAGAATTTTTTTCTTGTGAATCATCTTACAAATGAATCATCTAGTGATTCAATTTTTTTGTTCGTCAAAAAAATATGTAGAAAAAAAATTTCTTATCTTCCTACCAAAAAAAATTTCTTACCGGATCTATATCCTATATATATATATATATATATATATATATATATATATAGCTAGGTTCCGTTGAGAATAAAAATAAAATAGAGATTTTGATATTCAACCTCAGCCACGTATTTCACATATGCCACTCTTAGCCTCCAGCGTACCGGTGCGACAGGCCTGGTATAATCATAAATGATTATACAACGCCACACATTCCTTTATCCTCCACCACCATAACCGCCGCCACCACCACCACTACCACCATCTCTGACACTAGCCACCAACCGACCCCACCAATGTCACCTCCGTTACTTATACCACCACCATCTCTGTCACTACCACCCTTCTGCCACCAATTGTCATAATCATTTCTGATTCTCAATCTGTAAACAAACATATATGTATGATCATTTATGATTAGGCATACTTTGTTGCTGCCGATACGCTGGAGCATTAGAGCGACAAATGAAAAATATGTGGCTGAGGTTGAATCTCAAGATCTCTACTTTTTTTTTTTTTTTTTTAATATCAAGTGAAGCGTCCCATATATATATATATATATATATATATATATATATATATATATATATATATATATATACACACACACACACACGCACGCACACACAATGACATCCCCTGTTTTCTAGAATCAAAAAGAACTTTTTCTTTACGCTTGAAAAACCATAACATCTTTGTTTCTGAAAATTCCCACTATATTAAAACATTTTTGAGTACATATGTTTGTTTTTAAAATAATAACACTCTAAGGATGTCATAATCAATAGAAAGCATAGTTACATCATAAAGACCTAATAATCATGAACACTATTGTAGGTCTTCTCTTTAATCACTCAACATCTTATTCAAGTCTCCATCAATATTAACACTACTACCTATGATGCATAAAAATTGAGGATGCCAGGTTGGGAAACGTGGTGAGATACATACGGTTTTCAATCCCCACAATGTTATTATGATAATAATCCATAATCAATAAACCTGCAAAACCAATTATTACTAAACACTATAGATATATAATCCAACGAGGACATCTATAAACAATGTACCCATACATGCCCCGCGCAATCGATTCTCAGGAATTCTAATTAATGATTATCTGGAAGAATACTTACCTGGCGAATCATTTAAAACAACGGTTTAACTACATAGCTAAGAGATTCCTTGGACAATGTAAGTCATGAAAGGAAACCATGAAGAGGATGGAGTACTTGAATGAACACACAATCTATACTCCCAAATATTATGATTTATTAACACCTATACATAATGATCTTGCTAGTGATCTATCAGACTGTTTAGAATGGTCAGTGGTTGTAACGCCCGCATATCCGGGCTAGTCAATTTAGAGGCAATAGGGGTCGAAAACGACTTTTCTACAAAAAGATTATTTAGAATAAATAATCTTAACCAAGTTGTAGAATATGTCACAAGGTTTCCGTACATATAAAGAACGCCGAAATCCGAGTTATAACGAAGAAGTTATGACCCGTCGAAGTTTCGCGTCGGAACCGGCGCGGCGCTGGGAAGCGTAAATAGTAAATTTATGATATAGAGAGATTTAGCCTTAGCGCTCTAAACGAAAGTCGTAGAATATGTTAAACTAAGAACATTGATAAAAAGAACACCCAAATCTGACTTCGTATGAAGAAGTTATGATTTTTCGAAGTTTCGGATTAGCGGTGTACAACTCGAAATTCGAATTTTAGATCGATTGATTTTTAGCCGACACAACCTAAACAAGAATTGAAGATCTCGTTATTAGTAGCATAACGATAAAAATGCAGACGAAAATGGACATCGGATAAAGAAGTTATGAGATTTTAACGGACCAATCCTGTCCCGGCCTGTTAAAAATATAACTTTAAAAATAAAGTCAAAATTAGCCGACGGAGTCTAAACGAAAGTTGTAGAGTACGTCTCCACCTACGCGTGGATATAAAGAACATCAAAAACGGAGTTCGTATGAACGAGTTACAAATTATAATAGCATATTTACGTATTAAAATAAAGTATAAATCATGTAAACGTACACATATATATACATATGTATATATCATTAGAAAGGTATCGACGATGCGGTCATTATAAGACTAATGTTGAGTTCTTTCGACATTAGTTTAGTACAAATATCATTAAATCCATTTAAAATAGTATTATAGAGGGGTGTTTAGTTGTTTATATAACTAAAAGGTCATTAAGTAATTATGGAGGGTAGTTTTTGAAAATTCAATTAGTATAAATAAGAGCCTTGGGCTCTCATATTTCTTGCACCATTCTCTTGATTCAAGAGTCTTTCTCTCCTTATCCCCCGAGCATTTCGGTCCCTCGTGATTCGACTTCTCTTTCTGTAGTTTTAGTATAGTAAGGTGAGCGCTGAAGCGCTGCACGAATCTTTCTTAGAAAGATTCAACGACGAAGTTCTGCCCCTGCAGAGCCCGACTCCTAGCTAAAATCCCCTTGAAAGTAAGTTATGCTTACCCTATTTTAAATATAGTTTATATTTAAAATTAGTATTGTTATTATAAATTTATAATAAATATTTGAGCTATTATTATGACTTATATAAGTGTCGTTATAATATCTTTTAACTACTCGCGGTACGGAGAATCTGGTTTAAAGGGCCGCATAGGGTTGTTGGATTTCAGAAGTGCTATACGCCAAAATGGTCCTGCCCTCCGGTGTTTTATGTCTGGCCCCTGTCTGTACATAGTAGTTGGAAAGTATTGTTTAAACGCTTATATAATAATAATAATAATAATAATAATAATAATAATAAGACTAATAATTAGTCACGGTAATATTAGACTAAAATCTAGTGGTGATAATACTAGGTTTCGTCAAAGGAAATTATTTTAAAGTAAACGAAGCGCTGTCCGAGTACCGAGTCACCAACTTCTCAGGTGAGTGCATAGTCCCTTTCATCTTACACATAGATATGAAGTATTTTATATAAATTACTTGCTATGTGTGCA